CCGAAATAAATGTCTATATAGGGAACTTTTTTTTCTCTGAGCTCGGTGATCAAAGAAGTTAAAGAATAAATTTCTATGACTCTCTGTTCTCATAAAATCCGTGCAAAGTTAATGGAAGAAGTCCTGAAACTAAAAGATATTTTTGCAATAGAGGTTCTTTGTCCGAAGCCAAAGAAAATCGGAGCACTGTGCTGGATAGCGCCAAACCCAGGGGAATTTATCCTCAACACAGATGGATAAGCACTTGGCACTCTGGGAGAAGTTGGATGGGGATATGCAGTTAGAGGAGAAAAGGGAATGCTAGTAAGAGTTGAATGCCAATCTATAGGCAATGCTTTTTGTATAGAAGTGAAAATTATGGGTATTCTCTATGGTCTGCAATAGTGCGCTGAAAAAGAACTTCCTAGAGTCACAGTTCAGACTGACAGCCAAGTAATAGTTAAGTTATTAAGCAAAGTCAAGAACTTCCTATGGCGATATCATGCAGCTCTGAGCGAAATAAAAAATATTTTACAAAGCAGACACTACTCTATTCACCATATCTTTCGAGAAGTCAATGCTCTAATGGATGAACTGTCCAAGCAAGCGTCAAGTAGTAATTCCTTCTCTTGTGATCGTCCAACCGGCCTTTTGCCCCACTTGAGAGGTATATTAGCATTGGATCAACAATCTTTTCCTTACATTAGGATTAGATATGAACTAGACTAGGAAACCAAAGAACTGCCAGGGATTTTAGAAAATCTTTGTAAAGCACTATCTTAGTTTAGAGAGGTTAGGGATGTTAGAGCTGTCAGGGGATCACTAGAAGATTCTTTATCATACAACTCTTAGTTTTAGCTTTGCGACATGGCCGTCATAAAAAAATTAGAAAATGATTGTAAGATGGTCCTTTTTTTTGGGTAAGTGTTAAGCACTGCCAATTGTAACTTTTACTTTAAATATATAAAATCGGGGGATGCCCGCCAGGTACCGTCCTGGTTCTCCTAAAAAAAAAAAAACTATATAAGCAATCATTGAATTTCATGACAAAGATAAATACGCATATTTTTTAATATTTTTTAAACCTCAAAATTGAATTACAAAAGGTAAATTTTTTTTCTTGAAATATAGTAATTATACTAGTGCCAACATAGACAAGTCAGAGAGTACAAGAAGAAAATTTTTAAAAAAATAAAATAAAACAAATTAAAAATTTTTAAAAAATATAAAAAAATACAAAATTACCTCTAAACTCAACTCAAGTGTGTTGCACATGAAAAATATTTTTGAAAATAAATAATTATTTTTTAAAGATCATATAGTATATTTTTATGGTTATGAAAATTAGTAAATAGAAATAAAATAAAATAGATTAAAATGAATACAAGTGAAAAGGAGATATTTTGTTATTTTTACAGTTTTTTTTAAGCAAGAAAAAGGATGAAAACGACGTTCAGGTTCCGGATAACTCAAAAAATATTTTGTGAGTTATCTTTATAATATTTTGAAACTATTGAAGTATTTTTGTTAAAAACTAACGGAGATCCGTTAAGTTTAACAAAAATTTGACCAATTGGATGAAATTGACAAAGATTTCAAACATAGAGGACAAAATTGGCTAATCGAAAATCAATAGTGTAAAATTGACGACGGGGTCAAAACAGTGTAACCGCTATTTTTTTCTTTTCCGTTACTTTGTACAATTTGTTAGAAAGAAGAAGGGAAAAAAAAAGAAAAATAAATAAAATATTTTGTAATTTTTGTGGAACTGAAGAAAAGTGGCGGCGATGAAAATGTGGGTTGTGATGGAGGGAGGATCGTGTACTGTTTGTGGAGGCAAATTTTTATGTTTGTGGTGATGGTTTGAAATCCTCACAGATTTAGGAAGTGGTGATGGTATTTTTTAGGAGAAAAGTGGAAAGGGGTGGTGATGGTGGGGCAGCAGAAAACAAGTAAAAGAGGAAGAAAATGAAGAGGCTTAAGGTGGGAGCAATGAATTAGATTAGGAGATAAATTATGTGATAGAGACGTTACAATAATTAAATGGTAAGATAAGCGTATGTTACTGAATAACAAAAAATTAGAGATAAAATGTTAAGATTTTGGGTAAACAAAGTTTTTTACCAATAAAAAATTATACAAAGTAACAGAAGGTCACTAAAAATATTAAATATAACAGAATTCTCATCAATTTGGATTAAATTGACCAAAAATTAAAATTTAGATGATGAATTTGGTTTCTAAAAAAATATTTTGGGTCAAATTGGCCGGAAACATGATGTTTTGGGCAAAAGTGATCATTTTCTCAATTACTTTATGAGATTGTAAAATGTTATCAACCACATGGTTATATCTTATACCCTCAATTTTGATTGGTTGAAGACAAAACGGGACGTTTCCGTAAAAAAGACCAACGGGACTCTAGATTTTCTCTCTCTCTCTCTCTCTATATATATATATATATTATCATGTTATGGCTAGGACTGTAACAGACTTTCTTGATGTAAAAATATTAAAATTTTATATTTTCTAATTTATAGGATTGATTTTTTTAAAAAATTAATAAAAAATTAATTTATCACTAAATTAATAGTTATTAATTTATCGATAAATTAATAACTCTATTAAATTAATAAATTTTTGGAGGCCAAAGTGCTGTAATTTGTGGAGCTCTTGCTGTAAATCAATTGTAACTTTAAGAGAAAATCGTCCATCGATGGTTCCATGCCACCAGTACTTGTTGCTTTAAGTGTTGAAAATTTTGGATGATTTAAAATAAAGATATCAGGTTCGTATCTTGATTAACTTGAAATTGGGGAAACAGTTTCGAAAGACTCTGATTTCTAAAATAAATTCATTCGGGAGTCAAATATCCTTTTTATATACAAAAACTCTGCATTAGTACTAGGCAACTTTTATATGGTCCTTGTTTCTATTGGCACCTATTCCAAACTTCCAAAATGGTTTTTTTTTTTTTTTTTTTGGGGAGGGGGAGTAAGGTGTCACAATAGCAATTTGACCTCAATCTTTTTAGCACAAGCAATGCTCAAACTCCTACTAAAAAGAACTAGAAAGTAATGCGTGAACACGAAGGAATTAATTAGAAGACTTTTAGGTTAAGAACGAATTTTTAGCTGATTTTCAGTTGAGACCAATTTGTTTACTAAAATAAAAGAAAACGAGATGCGAGGTGATTTTGTATATCTTGACATTTCAATTTTCAAGTTCTAACTATAGATAGATTAACTAACCCGAGTAAATATTTATTGTGAGAGTTTTACTTCTTGAAGAGGACTTATCTAACTCGAATCTGGATTAGTCCGAATAATGATTTCAGACACATAATATAAAAAAAAAACAAAAACAAACTATACATTATTGTGTAGCATTAATTAAATGTGGATGCCGAGTTGACTTCATAAGTTTAGCCTGATTCATTAAATGTGGATGCCGAGTTGACTTCACATAAGTTTAGCCTGATTCTTAATCTCTACGAATTCTTAAGTTTCACGAGGTTTGATTCTTCGAATCTTTGAGGTTTTCAGTAATGATACAGTGTTTTTTTTTTTAAAAAAAGTAATGATACAGTAAATCATCGCTAAATTAATAATTTTGAGTAATTCATAGTATCGTGGTTGTTACTTTATGCCAACTGACACACACATATCATTAATTAATTAGATGCTTAAATCTTGTAAATGAATGAATTCTAATAAACAATCTTATCTACATATCATATTCTAACACTAACTAATTCGATTTTATCTTTTTTGAGAAACCATTCTAAAAGTTGCTCCAGTTTTTAGAATAACGACTAATTCTGACACAAAAAAAAAGAGAGAAAAAATGCATTTTTTGGAGATCACGTACGAACAAATTGAAACGAAAAATTAGCATAACTCAACAGGTCAATTATATATACTGATATCATCACAACAAGTCAACAAGCAAACTGTGGAGATTTGAATTACTATTATTATAAAAATAATAATTGTTGATGGATAGCGTACAGTTTGCAGTTTTCAAGCCTAAGGTTGAAGAAGATAATGTGACGTGTGGCTCAAGAGTCTTCCCATTTTACGATTAATTTTTTTCTTTCTAGAGGATTTTAATCATTAATGTCAAACAACGCTTAATAATATTAATTTTATAAAGAATCCGGAGACTTTATGACGTTCTAACAATCTTACTCCTTCCGTCCCAAAAAAATAGTCCACATTGAGCTTTGAGTTTTATATTGTTATAGTACAAATTTGAAAATTCAATGTGGATTATTTTTTCGGGACGAGGATAGTATTATACATATATACCATGATTGTAAACAATAAAAATTGTAAACATATATACCATGATTTAAGCAAGTGCAAAACTAGTGAAGTAATCTCATCATGAAGACTTGAACTGCGACGTTGAGTCTTTTGACTATAAATCATTATTGTTTAATTGAGAAACCATACATGGAATGTAGAGTAGGGAATTATAGATAGCATAAATTACTACTCTTTGAAACATATTCTGGGTGAACTGGAAGGATATTTTTGTAGAAATTTTTAAGGTATGGGATAGCAGATGTGAGATCAATTTCCAGTTTAATCAATCAGAAGTGGCATACATGTGCAAAATTCTCCAAAACGAAGTCCCTTAAACTATGGTATCTGTTCTTTAAGGTCCATGGAAAAGTTGGAATTGATCTGGCAACAATGCTAACTCCCCTGATTCTAACTTCTAATTAACCATTTTTTAAGTTGAACCTCTGATTCAAGCATTATCGATATAGTACAAAACATTCAAACTTTCTGCAGGTCAACTTAGAATTAAAAAATTTAAGAATCTTACCTACATACCGTGTTCTGGTCCAATGTTCAAATAATTAAACAATGCTCTCTTGATTTAGATGGATATGTAAAAAACAAAAAAAAAGCTTAGTTTTTGAGCCATCAAATCCTTTTCTCAGGTATAATCACCAAAAGAAAAAAGCACTTTCTGCCTTTAACACTGAAGCAGCATCAGCTTTAATTAGTATGGAAAATTATAGGTTCACAGTGTTTCCAGCCAAAAGTTTTAGTGTTTTCTTGGTTTATTCTGTCAGTGTCCTCCTTTTTTGGGATGTTGGAGCAGCTGCAACAGGACATGGAACTAATACCCCTGTCCACATTGGCCTGATTCTTGATTCTGCATCCCCTTTTGGTGCTATGGTTGATGTATCGATTTCCATGGCGCTTCAGGACTTCTACACGGCGCATCCGGATTTTCAAACAAGATTGATTCTGCATCGCAGAGATGCTCAGCAGGAATTGGATGTAGCATCTGCAGGTTAGTGAATGGTAGTTTTTTTTTGGTTTGCTAACTTTGCTTTACTTCAAACTGATCACACAAAGCTGACACCGTTTCTGTGAATGGAATGCAGCAATTGAACTGATGAAGAATGAAGAAGTGCATAGCCTTTTAGGTCCACAGATGTTCACACAAGATAAATTTATAGCGGAACTTGGTGGAAAAGTTCATGTACCTGTTATATCTTTCAGTGGCAGAAGCCAATCTGTTTCCTATGAGCAAACCCCTTACTTCGTCAGGACTACTCCTGATGACTCAAATCAAGCCAGGGCTCTTGTTTCTATCTGCAAGGGATTTGATTGGCTTGGAGCTGTGATTCTGTATGAAGATAGCGATTATGGTAGACTATTTCTTGGAAAGCTAACCAATGCATTCCAAGAGGCTCAGATTCAGATTGCATACATGGTTTCTGTCTCAGTATCTGCTGAGGACCACCATATAATGAATGAATTGAGGAAGCTGATAACTCTGCAAACTCGGGTGTTTCTGGTGCATATGAATGCTAACCTTGGATCTAGGTTATTTCTGCTAGCGAGACAGGCCGGAATGATCAGTGAAGGTTATGCCTGGTTTATAACTGATAGTATAGGCAATTTCATGAACTCGATAGATGATGTTGTTATTGATTCTATGGAAGGCGTCATAGGCCTAAAGCCTTATGTGCCTAAGTCAAAGAATCTAGACAGTTTTAGAGCCAGGTGGACGAAAAATATGCTTCTGATGAATCCAGACAATCAAAAAAGTTCAGCATCAGAGCTGAATGCGTATGTTTTATGGGCGTATGATACAGTTTGGGCTTTAGCAATGGCAGTAGAAAATGTTGGACCAGTGAACCTGAGCTTCTTGAAGGCAAATTTCAGCAATAATGGAAGTGATATTTCTAACTTGGGAATCTCCCAATTCGGTCCAAAACTACTAAATGAATTACACAATGTAACATTTGATGGGTTAAGTGGAGTGTTCAGCTTGGTAAATGGTCAGTTAAATGCTTCAGCTATTGAGATATTCAATGTTTATGCAACAGGAGAAAGACCAATTGGTTACTGGACCCCTGTAAGAGGCTTTACGCGTAAGTTGTCTTCCGAAGGCAAACAGACCTATTCAAATTCTGTTCAGGAGTTGAAGAGTATAGTGTGGCCTGGAGTTTCCACAAACAAGCCAAAAGGATGGTCCATTCCTCAGACAGGGAAGCTAAGAGTAGGAGTTCCTAAGAAAGATGGTTTTACGCAATTTGTCAATGTTTCGCGAGATCCCTTGACAAAGAAGATTCAAGTTACAGGTTTTTCAATAGATATATTCCTTTCTGTATTACAGCAGCTGCCTTTCTCCATTGATTATGAATTCATCCCTTTTGTGAATCAAAGCGGACTTAGTAACGGATCATACAATGACCTTCTTTATGCCATACCAAACAAGGTAAGTTTTCCCTCTCCTTTTTTATCTTTGTTTTTGGGAAAGAAAATGAACAACCACATTATTAGCATAGAGTCATTCTGATGTGGATTTTTCTTTCCTCTCATATGTGATCCAGACTTTTGATATGGTCGTTGGAGACGCGACGATCTTAGCTGATCGAGCAAAATACGTTGATTTCACTCTGCCATATTCTGAAACTGGAACCGTTATGGTGGTGCGAAACAGGAAAGACAGAGACATATGGATCTTTGTTAAGCCTTTTAGGTGGGATCTTTGGCTACTAATATTTGGTACTTGCCTATGCATTGGTATCGTCCTTCAGATATTGGAGCACAGCTCAAAGAATGGATCAGATTCTATTGGACCAAAGAAAGATAAACTTGGCTTGTCCTTTCCAATAGCATCCCTAGCTTTTCCTGAAAGTAAGTTGTTTCGCAACCCGAATCGCATTCCACAATCCACATAGTTTCATTTTCCTTTCATCATCTTTCAAATCTGTTTTGTTACAGTAGATAAGCTACTGGTGACTTAGGTTTGTTGACTCAAGTAGCATATGTTTATCTGCTGCTGACAGGAGACTCAATCACGAACAAGTGGTCAAGTTTTGTCATGGTTGTGTGGTTGCTAATGGCTTTCATACTGATGCAAAGCTACACTGCAAATTTATCTGCAATGTTTACAGTAGATCAGTTAGACTACAGGTTTTCAAATGATGATTACATTGGCGTTCAGGAGGGTAGCTTCGTAAGGGATTTTTTGATAAACCATCTGGATATTGACAAATCAAGGATCAGGGAATATGGAACCATTGAGGATTATCATGATGCCATGACTAAAGGGAGCAAAAATGGAGGAATCGATGCTATCTTTGATGAAATTCCTTACATGAACCTGTTTCTTGATCAATATGGCTCCGAGTACAAAACTGTTGGACCTACATATAAGACAGACGGATTTGGCTTTGTAAGTTCTCTCTTCCTTAACCTCTTCTATTTTAGCATTGTAAATAATAACAAGGCCACAGCTTCATGATTATCAGCTGAAAGTAAATTCCAGCGATCTGAAACATGAAGAAGATTTAGAACATGTCATGATCTAAAACATCTGCCATAAGATTCTTTTACAGCATGAAAAAGGATTCTGTCCAAAGCAAGAGTTCTGTTTGTTGAACTAAAAATAGTATAATGTACAGGACATCTAGTTTTGGACGGAGGGAGTTTGCATTTGCTCGGGGGTTATATAATTTTTACTTCTGAAATGAAATGACCTTATTATGTGTAATCCAGGCATTTCCACAAGGATCTCCCCTGGTGGTTCATTTCTCTAGGGCAATCCTGGCCGTCACAGAAGGTGTAAACTTGAGTGCAATTCAGCAGAAAAATTTCGGACCTGCATACTCGCCATCTGGTGATCAGAGTAATTCAATCAGCTCCCAGAGCCCAAAGTTAACAGTGTATGACTTTGGAGGACTTTTTATCATAATTGGCTCAGCACTGCTATTTGCACTATTCTGCTCAGAGACCCCATGGGGCCGACGACTCACTGATAAAGTAGCAACTATTAACCAAAAGTCTTTCTCCTTCCCATGGGTGCAAGGAAATGTCCCAAGGATTCACTCAAGTGTTCATCCTGATGATTCAAATAGAGACTCATCCGGAGACATTGAAGAAGTTCAAGGGTCTGACCATACCAATCACGAACCTGGCCAAGAAGATTTGGACATTTCAGCAAGAAATGGTCATGTTAATGCGCCTGACCAAGGCAATCATTCAAATGAAATCCAGCTATCTGAGCTTGGGAACACTGATACTACAGAAAGGCAAACCGGTTAGGAATCTTGTTGTGAAATACAGTAAATAACATTTAGATTCAGCTGGAGTATTAGATAAGCGAAATAATCTTGATTCGTCTTGTATATAGACTACAGTGCATCTACTGTTCTTAATATAGAGTTTGTTTCTTTATGATCTGAACCACATTTGTTGATTCATATATAGCTAGATTAGGTGAGTGTTTTTCTTTTAATCGGATCATCTCGGTCTTTTGTAAAGGAGTGATCCAAGGGATCAGTTAGTCAAATATGGACATCCACAATTACTTCAAGCTCAAACCATATGTTTCACGATTTAGTAGATCCTGATTTCAAGTGAGCTAGGTCCGATCGTGCTAAAAATTCATAATGCTTTTCTGAGCTGAGCTGTTCCTGAATCATTTACGTGTAAGTGCGCCGATGGCTGGAAGAAGGTAAGAGGAATAAGAGAATATAAGGACATCTGATTTGTCATTATTTTTACATGGTCTATTCAAAGTATAGTGCAGCTGTGTAAAATTTCAAACTTCATAAGAATCCGGCAAGGTTAAGAATATTCTGAAGATACCATGTTTGTTAACCAACCATTCCCACAATGCATATATATGATAGCAGAATTTTCAATGACAGAAAGGACAAGGATATCTAGTCAACGAAAAGATGGTGCGTTGTCCAAGTTATATCTTCTCGAAACTAAGCAAATGCTTTGAGGGTTCGAGATTCAGAAACTAAATATAGGGTGAAATGGAATTCCTTCCATGCAATTTCTGGGAAATTAAATGGGGATATATATGCTCATCCAAACATATATACTAATCAGGATTCCAGCATTTTAGGTATTCTGCAATGCAATTCTTTGTCTTTATGCAGACTGGATTATTGTTTTGGCCGCATTATGTTGTCTAGTTAGGCAGGTATATTGTAACACACAGAAATAAATTACAGGTATGTGTTTTTGTCAGAAACTTCATGTAGGAATATCAGTTAAAGGGTCCACATATTTAGCTGTTCTTGTCAACATCAAGGCATCCCAATCAGTACGAAATTACTGATGAATTGACTGGCCAATGAATTCCACCAATCAATATGTAGCATTCAAGATTTCAAATATTTTCCACATCTCTTACTCTGTATATATAGTTCCAATATCTTTGAGTAAAGTTATAACAAAACAAATTGAAAAGCACGGCGTCGTACTTCAGAGTATGAAAATATTGTTTATCTTTGCTTTGTTTGTGTTACATTTCACATTTGTAGTCACTACCGTTCATGCAAATGAAGCTGTTTGGCCATCAAGCCATGCTTTCATCGACATTGGTGTAGTTCTTGATACGGATTCGCCCATGGGAAGCATGTTAAACTCCAGCTTATATATGGCACTTTCAGGCTTCTACTCAGTTCATGCAAACTACAAGACAAGGTTGTGTCTCCATACTAAGAATGCTAAAACAGAAATGGAAGTCGCTTCAGCAGGTGAGCTGTCTTTCTGTATGTTATTTTTCATGATATTGTTGGTTCCTTTTTTTTTTCTGGAAACATTATAACAAATTTCATTCTGTGAGTGGAAAGCAGTTATGGATTTGCTGAAGAATTTGAAGGTGCATGGTGTTCTGGGGCCAGAATGGTTAAATGAAGCTACATTCGTCGCAGAACTTGGAGAAAAGGCTCATGTACCAGTTATTTCCTTCACAGCCAAAAGCCGAGCCTTTTCTCGTTTGCAGAACCATTACTTTGCTCGGACAGCTTTAGATGACATTCATCAAGTGAAAGATCTTGCAGCCATTTGTCAGGAATTCAAATGGCAGGAAGTAGTTGTATTCTATGAGGACACTGAGTATGGCAATCTATTCCTTTCCAAGGTAAATAAAGTATTCCAAAAATTTAGTATTCGGTTGTTATACGTCAGTGCTTTGTCCGAATCAAGTGAAGATGTTTGTATTACAAAGGAACTAAACAGGATGAAAGAAATGAATAGCAGGATATTTCTGGTACATGTGAACATTTCCCTCGGACACAGGCTCTTTCGCATAGCCAGCAAAGCCGGAATGATGAGCGAAGGGCATGCCTGGCTTGTTACTGATAGTTTGTATAACTTTTTGGATTCTGTGGATTCCAGTCCGATGGAGGGTGTTGTAGGCATAAGGCCTTATGTTCCAAAGTCGACAAATCTGGAGAATTTGATGGCAAAGTGGAAAATTGATGAATGGCTGAAAGAGACTGGAAGAACCACAATGCAGTTAGATATCTATGGATTGTGGGCATATGACACTGTCTGGGCCTTAGCAATGGCGGCAGAAAAGATGTTGAGTAACTATCCTGATTTCACAAGCAAAAGCCGTGGAGAAAACAGAACTGATATTTCAGATTTAAGCGTCTCTAAGATCGGCCCGAGGTTGTTGACTGAACTCCTGAGGACAAATTTCATTGGCTTGAGTGGGAAGTTCCAACTGGTTGATGGGCAACTACAGCCTACAGCTTTTGAGATTTTCAATGTGATAGAATCAGGAGATAGAATTGTCGGATACTGGACTCCTAGTTGCGGACTCTCCAAAAGCCTAAGTCCAAATTCTTCAAAAGAACTCAAAGCCATTATGTGGCCTGGAGAAACACTAGTACCACCGAAAGCTTTTCCTGTCCCGGTAACAAGAAAGCTGAAAGTTGGAGTTCCAAAGAAACCAGGGTTTGAGGAATTCATAAATGTACAATTTGATCCCCTCACTAAACAGTTCAATGTCAGCGGGTTTTCAATAGATGTATTCCATGAAACGCGAAAGCTGTTACCTTTCAAGCTGGATTTCGAGTTTGTCCCCTTTGTGAATGCAACTGGACAAAGTAATGGTAGCTACACTGATCTGCTTCATAAAATAGTTGACCAGGTTTGTTTGGTTTTAGCATAAATCATCTTAGTTGATATAAATTGTTGTATTTTTCCCTAGCTTAAGCGTGATAACTGTTGTTTGTTTCTTCTGATAAGGCAGACTCTTGACATGGTGGTGGGAGATATAACCATTTTGGCAAATCGAGCAACTTATGTAGATTTTACTCTTCCATACACTGAATCAGGAGTTGTAATGGTTGTGAAAAACCGAAAGGACATAGACATGTGGAGTTTTTCCAAACCTTTGAGGTGGGATCTTTGGCTGACAATTGTGGCAGCCTGCATTTTTGTAGGTGTTGTTCTCAGAGTAATGGAGCGTGAACGGAACAACACTGATGCGGGCTATTCAGCTCCACAGGAACCAAAACTCAACGTGATCTTTTTCCCTATTGCAGCTCTAGCATTTCCTGAAGGTAATTCTTTTATTTAGTACTAGCAGCTCGTATCAAACAGGACCAGGTATTTAGATACTTGATTGATCAGAGAATACCTGATTTTGACAGGGAATATGGTGGCTAACAAATGGTCAAAGTTTGTATTAATTGTGTGGCTTTTCGTGGCATATATACTGATGCAGAGTTATACAGCAAAATTGTCATCAATGTTCACAGTGGATCAGTTGGATTTTGTATGTTCCGAAGATCATTACGTTGGTCACCAGGCAGGTTCTTATGTCAAAGATTTCTTGATTGATGAACTTCACTTAAAACAATCAAAGCTGAAGAGCTACAGAAGCTTCGAGGAATATCATGAAGCAATGAGCCTAGGTGGTAGGAAAGGCGGCGTGGATGCCATTGCTGGCGAGATACCTTACATGAATCTTTTCCTGATCAAATACGGTTCCAAATACAGAATAGCCGGGCAAACGTATAAAACATCAGGCTTTGGATTTGTAAGTTCCCTTAGTTCTCTATCATTGTTCTTTGTTACCTTCATTATAAGCTTTTGGTTCTGTGATTTACATTTCATTTAATCAACATCATTTATGTTAGATGTGACAATCATTTTCTTCAGGCCTTCCCAACTGGCTCCCCATTGGTTAGTTACTTCTCAAAGGCAATTCTGAAAGTAACACAAGGTCCAGTCATGAAAACCATTGAGACCAAGAACTTTGGACCTAAATATTCCCCTGACTTCATCAATCGAGACAATTCACGCCTGACGGCGTCAAACTTTGGAGGCCTATTCATAATCATCTGCTCCGCAACATTGGTAGCATTATTCTGCTCTGAGACCTCAGCTGGACAAAGGTTAGCCATTATGGCAACATCTAAGATGCAAACGTGTTGCAGTATTAGTAGCAAAGAATCAAGTGAATGTGTGATTAGCGTTGAGAATGTTCCTGTCGATTCATCCAATGAAGACAACAAAATCCAGGAGGGCGACACAACTGCATCGAATTCACCAGGGGAAGTACAACAATGGAAGCTCTGTATCGGCGATGTTTTGGCTAGTCAAGGTGAAGTTAACATTTTTGTGGCAGGACCAGCTGAAGTTGCCTAATGATTTAAGAAAATGAGCATATCATATCCCGACCTACTTGCATTTATTTTTTTGTGTAGGCTAGAAGATTTCTTTGTCTCTCTTTCGAGATCCAACCCTTTCTGAAATCAGTAGTCATTAACTAGGACTCTTGTAAATTTTATTGTAGATACAACATACTTAGACACAAAACTTTGGTTCATTGTAAAAGTTAACAAGAAATAGCTTTTGTTTTTTTAGCTTTTCTAGTCTTGGTTCCCCTCCTTCTCGCTGCCATTTTCAAACACGCCTCAATGCACGTAAAAACTCCGATTCTGGAGATCAAAACAAGGTAGAGATTGGTGCTAATGCTCTTTGGTCAAATTTCAAATATACTTATACCAGGAGCAAGTAATCATACTTATATGAAAAGGTGGGATCAACAGATTTTCCTAGGTATGGTGTAATTATTCCTTAGAAATGATTCTGATAAAGAGGAAGTTAGTCTTCTTGAATATTGAATGAATTTCTCAAAGAAGCAAAAAAAATTGTTCCAGGTGAGTATTAGCACGATGACTTTCTAAATATAAGATCTTTAACCAGTGCCATCATGTACAGAATCAGAAGAACTTGGATGGGTGAAGTGGACTAATATATTTCCAGCTGATGAAATTAAGAACAAAATTTATTAAAGCTAAATTCAAGCAATAAAATACTGTTGAGTTTGATTAAGCAATAAATAACTGGATCTTTCTTCTCAAATTAATTGACAAGCAGAGATATTTAATGATCATCTATATATACTAGTTATGGCATCAGCTCATCTTAGCAGTTTACTGAGAATGGATTACTGGAAATGATTGCATTAAGATATCGTTCTAGTAACTTTGGCCCATAAATTTCAATGGAGTTGCCTGATTAATCAAGCTTCCTGTTTTAGTACCCAGATTACAGAAAACCAATCCCATTTTAGTAGTCAACATTAGTACAAACAAAGTGGACTATTAAAATAGGACGCTTGGAATATTGTTGTTTTACTTGGTCTTCTCAAACTGAAATCGCGAACTCTTTTCCATGATTCTCCCAACAATCGGAATATTCTGAATATACCGTGCTTATTAATTAAACATTGGCCGTTGAGCATTGTCTGTTTCTACAGATAAAGGACGAGGGTCACTTTGCATACCTAGACAATGAAAAGATGTTGTGTTATCCACGTTGTTTATCTAAGCAAATGCTCCTCAGATTCAGGATTGATTCTCTTTGAAGCTTTTTCAAGTGTGTGAATTGAGATACTTCCATGTTGTTTCTAAGCAAAAAATTAAAACTGCAATGCATTTCTTGTCTTATATTTATATGCTAACACTGCTTGTTGTTTGTTTTTACTTTTTAGAGCTTGTACGCTTTGCTCCATCAATGTTGTTGCATTTCGTTGGCTAGCTGGGCAGGTGAAATCTGAGACCATATGTGGAATAGAAACAAAGGTCTTAGCTTGTTCTTTTGCGGAAACTTCCGGTAGGTTTACTCATATGCTCATTAGTCTTTTCTTGGTCTACATTTTTTGACTGTTCTCGTCCACTTCAAGGCACCCCAATTAGAACGAAATTACTGAACATTTGATTGATCAATGTATGCACCAATCCATTTGGGCCATTTCAACAGCTCGCATATTCTCCAAATTAATCTGTTTTTAGTCTGCATATATAGTTACTCACTCTCTCTTTGGTAGAGTAGATAACATAACTCAGTGTACCGAAAGAGCCAAGATTTACCAAATCGAGCGCTTGGCTCGACCACTTACCAAGTATGAGAATTCTTTACTTCTTTACTGTATTTGTGTTGCTCCCTTTCGCATATGTGGTCAGTGCAGTTCATGCAGATGAAACCGTCCAGGAGTCAAGTCATCCATGCATCGGCATTGGCGTGGTTCTTGATACGGATTCACCCATGGGAAGCATGTTAAACTCCAGTTTAGAAATGGCACTTTCAGACTTCTACTCAGTTCATGCAAACTACAGGACAAGGTTGTGTCTCCAATCTAAGAATGCTAAAAAGGAACTGGAGGTCGCTACAGCAGGTGAGCAGTTAGTTTATGTACTTCTAATCTTGACCTTAACATAAATCTGATAATGAACACTTGTTGCTCTCTCATCATTATCCTCATTTTCTCCAACAAGGTGCGAATTTGTCGAATAAGAACTAACAAGACATAAATGTTTCTCATGTCTTACAACAATAAGGCCTTTCATCAAACAATAAAGAAGTTTTATCTGAAAATCAACTTTCCTGTCGGATAGGATGATGGCTTGCAATTCTACATGATTCTTGCCCATTCGTATAAAACATCCGCTTTTGACAAACTATGTTCTAGCAGGTTTCTTATGTTTTGGTTTGTAAATCCTGTTCCATTGATACTAGAATTGATCGTAAATTGTAACGTAAATTCAAAACAGTCGAGGAATTGCTGAAGAATGAGAGGATCCATGGTATCCTTGGCCCAGAATGGTTATCTGAAGCTGCATTCATCGTAGACCTTGGAGTAGCGGCTCATGTGCCTGTTGTTTCCTTCACAGCAAGAAGCCAAGCCTTTTCTCATCCGCAGAACCACTACTTTGTTCGGACAGCTTTAGATGACATTCATCAAGTGAAAGGTCTTGCAGCCATTTGTCAGACATTTGAATGGCAGGAAGTAGTTGTCTTGTATGAGGACACTGAGTATGGCAATCTATTCCTTTCCAAGTTATACAAAGTATTCCAGAAAAAGGATATCAGGCTGCTGTTCATCAGTGCTTTCTCTGAATCTGATGAAGATGCTTCTATTACAAAGGAACTAAACAAGCTGGAAGAAATGGATAGCAGGGTATTCCTGGTACATATGAGCATTTCACTCGGGCACAGGCTCTTTCGCATAGCAAGCCAAGCCGGATTGATGAGTGAAGGGCGAGCCTGGCTCGTTACTGACAGTTTGTCCTATTTGGGCTCTGTGGATTCCATTCCAATGGAGGGTGTTGTAGGCATACGGCCTTATGTTCCAAAGTCAAAAAACCTGGAAAATTTTAAAGCAAAGTGGAAAATTAATGAATGGCTGACAAAACCTGGAAGAACTGGAATGGAGTTAGATATATATGGACTGTGGGCATATGACACTGTCTGGGCCTTAGCAATGGCAACAGAAAATATGATGATTAAATATTCTGCTAAAATTGGCCCTAGGTTGTTGACTGAACTGCTGGAGACAAATTTTACAGGCCTGAGTGGGAAATTCCAACTGGTAGGCGGGCAACTACAGCCGTCAGCATTTGAGATTTTCAACGTGATTGGATCAGGAGAAAGAATTGTCGGATACTGGACTCCTGGAAGAGGACTCTCCAGAAGCTTAAATTTAAATTCTCCAAAAGAACTCAAAGCCATTATGTGGCCTGGAGAAAAATTAGAACCACCAAAAGGTTTTCCTGTGCGGGTAACACGAAAGCTCAAAGTTGGAGTTCCGAAGAAGCCAGGGTTCGAGGAGTTTGTGAATGTGCAATTTGATCCCAT